TCACCAGCCACCGTGCGGATTCTGGTAACACCCTGCCAAGGAGATGAAATTGGGGGATGCTGCTTTGAGCTGTTGAGTTTCCCCAGAAAGCATCCCCCCTGTGACCACGTCCAGCAAGCAAGGGGCATCACATGCAATGGAGGGTGTCTAAATACTATACATATAGGACACCAAGGCCACATTTGACTTGAAGACCTGTAGCAAACCAGCTGCTGCCTCCAGAGGTGCAGTGCCCCAGGGAGATGTGCCGAGCTCTGCAGAAGTGCCTCCAGATGCTGGGGAAGACCCAGCCTGCTCCTGAGCAGCTGCCTCCTCAGTGCCACCCCTCACACTTGCTGCTCTCGTGTTTACCAGACGTTCTGCCCTGCTTCTGCTTACCAGATGTAGAAGAAAAGGACAAACATTGGAGCAGATCCTGCAATCTCCAGCAGCCTCCAGTTGCGAACACCGTAACTGACTCCAGCCAACACCATCTGCCCAACGGCAGAACAGCAGTGAGAAATAAGCACTGACTTTGGCCGGGAGGAGATACCAACCCACTCTGTAGCTGAGAAGAATAACAGAGGTTCAGGGTCACCCCTTCCAAAACAAGCAGGACTATCTTTTCATATTGCATCTTCTGAGGTCGCACCTGTCTGTCTCGTGGCCAGGGCATCCTACTTACCCAAGGCCAAGGCAGTAATCAGAAGTCCTGACACCGAAGCCCCCACGACACATCTGAAGGCCATGTACACGTATAAATGGGGCACAAAGGCAGTTCCTACACCGAATAAGGCCTGGAGGAAGATGGAGATCAGAAAGGCTGGCCGACGGCCTATGCTGTGGAGGGAGATGGAAGACACGGTTGGCATCTGGAGAGACCTCGTGGGGAAGAGCCCTGGTGGAATACAAAGTGATCTGAGAACCATCCACACCAGTGGGGATTTGATGCCCCAGATCAGACTTGAAGCAGACAGTGGTGGTGGTTCCTCTCTGAGGCAGCCTGTACCCTTCCCTTCAAGGAAGCCATGCCCTTCTCCCTGCCACGTCCCCTCTGTGCCCACAGAGCTGAGGACTTTTCTTTGTGTTACCATGAGCGGAGCAGAGCCCCAAGAAGGAGGACTCCATGCTCTGGTTACCACAGCTGAAGATGGGTCCAGCTCTGTGCCCAAATGTAGATTTCTGGAATTCCTGGAGACACCCATGGGTAGCTGAAACACCAGCTGGGGCTAGACCTCTGGTTCCTGAAGGCCCCTCCCATAAGGGTGTATCTGTCTCCCTCCCTTTTGAACCCTTAGACAGCTACAGACATATCAGGTGGCCCCAGAAGCCCTAGCTAAGAGAAGGGGATCAGGTCCCATGGAGGGAGTATTTCATGCTCCATGCATGGACATTGTGAACTCTCAGCTGGGCTGTCACTGGGTGCTGGGCAGTATCTCTGGGAAGGTGGCTGTGTTTCCTCACCTGTCACTTAGTGGCCCAAAGATGATGGCCCCTAGGAGAAGCCCCGCCATGTAGACAGCCTGGGAGACGTCGTTCAGGTACTTCCTCTCACACACCAGGTCAAACTGAGGGGAGGAAACACAGCTGCTTTCTGAGGGTTCATGGTGGACCCAGGAGTTGGGTGCTCGAGCTCTTGCTCCAGCCCTTGGCAGTAGGAAACCCACCCAGAAGGACAGGGGCCTCCACGGTGTGCACGTAGGACACAAGTCAGAGGTGGGCCAGGCATATGAGGTGCTCAGCCTGCCTCTTCATCACAGTGCACATCTCCCAAATGCTGACACCTGCAGAACTCCCCTCCAGGCCAGGCATCCCCAAGGGAGCCTCCTGGCTGGCAAGTTTTGCTTCCAGTGGGACACTGGAAGAAGAGTCCTAGCAGCTTGCTTCTCTGGCTGCAAAGGCAGGAGATGGTGGAAGGAGGAGGGCAGGAAAGCAGTGTTTTCTCTGGTAAAGGAGGACTGAGTTGTGGGTGGGAAGGGCTGCAGCAGCTGCTGAGGAGCCTCTAGAGAAGCTGGCTGTGGAAAGGACACAGTGCTCCAGGGACCCCAAGGAGCATTTGCAAATGCCAGAGGCTGGAATCTCCTCTGGTTTCAGCTCAGAGCAGAGTACTTGTGAGGAAGTGCTACAGCTGGGAGGAAGGGAAGGAGAGGAGGGCTTGGAACTGGGAGAGGAAAGTTCCAAAGAGGGAGAAGTTGAGGATGCTGACAGAGAGACCCTTTGCTGAACTGCATGGCCCATGGGTTGGGTTGTTACAGCCCTGAAGGTCTCTGGAAGCCCCACAAATATCAACTACAAACCCTTTGGAATGTAAATGTCTCACACCCTCACTGCCTCTGCCTGCGCTCCCCTGGGCATCTACATCACGGTCTTCATGCAATGACCTCCCAAGGACTGCAGCTGCAGTCCCTGTGATGGAGCCAAGCTCCTCCAGTCCCCGGTGTAAATCAGCCTGAGTGCCCCACGGCCAGCACCGGCTTACCCCAGCAGAGGACAGGAGAAGCCCATCCCCTCCCTCCCTCCCTCCCGTCCCGGCAGAGGGGTGACAGACCTCGGTGAGCAGGGAGGGGGGCGGTGCTGAGGGGTACACCCAGCCGCTGCGGCACCCCTCGGTGGCGTTCAGGCCGTAGGCGGCGATGGAGCCCAGGTCCCAGTCCACGGGGCAGTACCTGGAGCACTGCTCGTACGCCCCGTCCGCGCCCCGCGGCAGCGTCAGGTTCAGCTGCTCTTCCTCCGTCAGGTTGGGGCCGACGGCGCGGATCCAGCCCGTGTCACAGTGGTGGGGCACCTCCACCACCATGAACACTTGTCCGATCATTTGGAAAGGGATCAGAAGTTGTGGGAGGGAGATGATCAACACCAGCAACTTCTGGTATCGCCCGAAATCCCCCAGAACGCTTATGAAATCCCCAAACTCAGGCATGGTGACTACATCTACGGCCAGGCTCTGCTAGGGCACCCTGCTTAAATAGGCAGATATTAATGTTTAAACTATGTAAGCACTAAACCCCTAATCAGGTGTGATAAAACGAGCACACGGATCAGCACGTTCATCCACCACAATGATCTATTTCAGTCCTCCAGGGTGTACTTTGTCACCAGGCATTCCCTCCCCGTCCTTGGAGCCAGCACAAAGGTGCCAGAGCATTGCCACTCATGGGGACGAGGGTGGGGACAGCTTCTCTTGCCCCAGAGTATCTCCCCAGGCTTCCTAAAGGCAACAGGACTGCCACCCAAGTTTTCCTCTGAGACATGAAGTTATAACTCTGCAAAGGAGGGCTGATTTTCCTAAGGGTGGTGAGGCAAGCAGTGGATTTGCTGCTCTCATTGATGGCTTAATGGATATATAGCCCATCCTGGAGATTCTAGGAAAGAGAATCATAGTATCATTAAGGTTGGAAATGACCTCTAAGATCATCAAGTCCAACCGTCAACCCAACACTACTGTGACCACCCAACCATGTCCCGAAGTACCACATCTACAAATTTTTTGGATACCTACAGGGATGATGAGTCCACCACCTCCCTGGGCAGCCTGTTCCAGTGCCTCACCACTCTTAGAAAGCTCTCAGAGAAGCAGAAAACCTCACCAGTCTTAGAGAAGCAGAAAAGCACTTCTCCTCTGGACCAGGAAAGATGGCTGCTAGTCAAGCAGACTTGGTCCTGACAGCTGTGCCCCAATGTTTCCTTTGTCCCACGTAGAACCCTTGATCAGTCATAAAACTAGATCTGAACTACGGTGTTTTGGGGAGAATCCTAAAATAGATTTGGCATAGACAGGACCCTTAAGAGGAATGTTGCACATCATGTACACAGACAGAGAGAGCACACAGGATTTGGGGATCAGAAACGACACCAGCTTGGCTTTGCCTGAGGTTGAGATGTTCCTTGAAAAGCAGATTGCCCTGATTTCTGCTGCACTTCTGAGCTGCTTCTGGCAGGCTCCCTCCATCGTCTGCATGTTTATTCCTGACCTGCTTGCTTCGTGTCTCCTTGCCAGCAATTTGTCCTTCACTCTTAACCCAGATAGTGTGTCTGAGCCTCCAGCAGAGTTCCTGAAGGATCACACAAGTCTGGGTTGGTGTTTCATGAGTGGGTATGGTCTTGGCATGCTTATGGAGGTGGGAAGAGGGGTAGAAGGTAGCATCTTAAAACATCAGCTCCTAAGCTGGGCTGGGACAGAGAGGTCACACTGGTTAATGCTATTGATGGCAAAGGAAGAGAGGACTAAAAGTTACTTAGAGCTGTGCCAATTTGCACCAGCAAAGTGCATGTACCATGTAGATGTCCCACACAGCCAAACATATCACTGGGGTCTGGAGCCACATCCCTGCATGAGAGAGCTTCTTATTATTCAGAGATGTGCCCTGAGCAGGAGGTTGAGTTAAGCAACCACCAGAGGTTCCTTTTGCCCTAAATCCATCTCTGGCCATGCTGTGGGATGACTTGGTCAAGGAGACCCACTGTGGCAGAGATGTTTTAACCCTGTCCTGCTGAGCAGGGAGTAGATGCCTAGATGCCTTTTGCATTAGTGTGCAACAAGCTGCAGTCTTCAAGCTCGCCCTGTTGTGTGTGGCTCGTGGTCTCCTCCTGCTCCACTGCTGCTAACATCTTGTGGTTTCACCCCAGCTGGCAGCTCAGCCCCACGCAGCCGCTGCCTCGCTCCACCCCAGTGGGATGGGGGAGAGGACTGGCAGGCTGAAGGTGAGAAAACTCGTGGGCTGAGGTAAAGACAGCTGAGTAGGGCAAGCAAAAGCTGCATCTGCAAGCAAAGCCAACCAAGGATCCCATTCCCCAGAGGTGGCAGCACCTCTCTCCTGAGTCTCTGGCCCCATCCCAAGAGACGTACTCCAGCATCTAATGAGTCATGTACCCTTCAAGGACCTCTCTCTTTTCCCTGCTTCATGTCTCCCAGCACAGAGCACTGACATCCTGCTTTGCAGCTGATGCAGTCCCTAAGCAGCTTTATTCCTCCAGCAGACCTGACAGAGCCAGGGCTATTTCAGCACTGCTGCCCAGGGGAGGTGTGGGTTGTTTGTTTGTTTGTTTTTTAATTAAAAAATGAATGATTTTAACATCTTCATAATTTTAATTTTCTTTTACAGACAGCTCTAAAAAATAATTTTACAGAGAGCAGATTAAAACAGGTGAAGTGATGTGCTCTGTGATCCTTTTCCTGGTACACTTGTTCTTGCTTTGCCTCTGAGGTCTCTGGTGAGCTTCTTTATCGTTGTTGTAATTGTTAATTCCTGGAACATCTGTTATGGCAGCAAAGGGCAGTCAGGGAGGGTCAGATTGCACCCACAGAGTGGATGTAGCAATGTCCCCAAGATTTCAAGAGAGCTGGTTTCCCTTTCTTCCTCTACCCTCCTGATAGGTGACATTGGCAAGGTCGTTTCACTTATCTTTGCTCATCATCATACAATGAGGCTAATAATGGTGACCTCCTCTGTGAAGCAATTTTGCAGTCTACTGAAGGAGAAATACAAAGAGCAGAGTGAGCTACCATTGTTAGGAAGTGTAGACAAGCCAGGTGGTGAAAAGGTGTGTGGTGCTTCTAGTTGGATTCATCTCTGGATGTCTGAGTGTAGTTGTCTATATGTGAAAGAGATATCTCAGGTTGCCCTGCAGTTCATGGAGATGGACCAACACAAAGCTGTCAGCTTCTTGAGTGCAGCTGGCTGTTTTAGGGTGGGCCAAGTCACTCTCCAGACTGTTCTCCATTGACTCTGACACAGGCTTGAGCATCTGGTTTACACTGAAATGTTAATATAGCAGGCACCTAAACCTGATCTGGAGGCAAAGCTTAGATCAGCCCCCCCTTGGCCTTGCTTTTCCCCATTGGATTTCATGTGTACAGTTGTGGCCAAGTATTTGCCTGATGATGGCATTCTCTTCTTCTTGGAGTTTCTAGTTCTTGATTAGGTATTGCTCATGGCTGCCTGATGGTTTGGCCTCTTTGGAGGTCTGTCTGCCCTCTGCCATGTAGACAGTGGCCAAGCAGACATCCTTTGAGGGACCTTGGTAGTAAATTGTGCAGAACATCTCTGGAGAAGACTGCTGGGTGCAGAGAGCAGGGTGCTGCTTGGACTCTCTTTGGAGGTTCCTTGCAGTTCTTGCAGCCAGTTCTTGCAATATTCTTTTTTGGGAACTGAGCATTGTCCCACAATGACCAGGAAAGAGGTCTTAAATTTAGCTCCTCAAGCCATTAATAAATCAGCCCTTGCACCAATGAACTGGTCTCATGCTGGAAGAGTGGGGGATTTCTAAACCAATGTCATGGATCAGTTTTTGCCCCATACCACCTGACTTTTGCTGCAGGGGTGGGTGTTTTTTTAATTTTTTTTCCCCCTCCCAATTATATAAAGAACTCCTGGTCTGAAAGGCCATCATTTGACACACTCAGGTCTGGAGAAGACAGACTTCCACAATTATCTTCATCTCCTGATGTTGTTCTGCTCCTGTTCATTTTTTCAGAAGCCTCCTGGCCCACTGTGGTTGAATCGACATCAAAAAGACCAAAGCCACCCTGAGTAAAGGTTTCAGAAGCATGGTTGGTGAATGTGTGCACTGGGGGAAAGTTGTCTTCCTGTGTGGAGAGAGGCTTGTTTGTAGAGCTTTCAGCACCAAGACCCAGTTCCAGCCTATCTTCTACAGCCTTTGGAGCCTGGCACTGTGGACCCAGCTGCTGCAGCACTGACCAGCTCTGAATCACTTCCACGTCTCTGATATCAATGTCATCCTGTCCATCACTAAATGAGAGGCTGGAGGTGTCCCACAGCACCAGCGGGGCGTTTGTTTCTGCTGGGATTTCCTGGCATAATTCTGAAGTATTTGGTTCCAAGTAGGGTGGAGTTTTGGCCTCTGAATTTTGCAGGTCTGAATTTGGGGATTTACTTGCTACGCTGGGAAAATCTTGTCCTCCCGAAAAGAGTAAGTTATTGTCCTCCAGAAAAACCAGATTGTCTAACTGAAGCTCAGCTTCCTTGGGTAACTTTCCTGAATTGCCTGGTGAAAAAAGTAACCCATCCTCTGTCACTGTGTCCTGGACATCCAAACTCAATAGGTTCTGGATTTCTAGTAGAGGAGCATCAATGTGCTTTCCTTCCATGATGAGATTTTTGCTGTTCTTGGCTTCGGGCACAAGCTCTGGAGGAGGATATAGAAAGTTTGTACCACCTTCTGAGCTTGCTGCAGCTTCTTTCTGATTTTCCTTTGCTGCCATGAGAGAGAGCCAATAGCCGTCCTGTTG